AAGCTTCTGTGATTCAAAAATGATTAGTAGGCGAAGAAAGTCTGTTTCAAAGCTGCTTTGCTTGCGTACAATCATATAAATGAGATGTTTTTGCATTGCTACTCACTGCTTTTTAGACTCAAGTCAAACGAAGCAACAAATTTAAATTAGTGTTTATTCTAGACCATAAGGAATCATGGAAAGCAGAGCAAGATTTGCATTAGTGAAGTAATCTGTCACCAGATAAAATATAAAAGAATGAACGCGTTGAGGATGGCACTATTGGTGGGCTTGAGAGTTGTTCAAATAGGAGTCACAGATAGATGAGGAAAAGCTAGAATTAGCATGTCTTTCCAATGATAAGCTCAACAAGGTTGCAACTGTTTAGATGATTTTGGGACTGCTCAAATCACCTCAACACTGGCTAGCTTAGATTCTCTGGGTTCCAAAAACAAATTTTGCTGAAAAAAGCTGCCAGCTCGACGACGAAAGGAAACATGATGCACAAAATCGAACGCACTTCGCGATTTCCTTATACGCAAAATGCTAAGCGACGAAAGGACTCGAACCTGCATCGCACAACTGCAAACCGGAACACTTACCACTGCGCCACCCTACCACTTACATTGTTTACGCAAGTACTCCTAATTGTAGGTGGCCTCATGGAAACAAGTGCCCATATCTTCTTCCAGGAAACCGTTTCGCAGATATGGAAGACAGATTTGAGTTTCCCATACCCAACTTGTTATTATAGAATATATCTTGTTTTGAATGGCCACTTCGAGTAAAAAGCATTCCCTCGTTAGAAAATTACATAACCTGCCTTTACTCGTCGTGCAGGCCCCAGCGTTTCCATCCATTTCTGTCTCTCGCTAGCATCCCACGATGTTGGTATTAAGCTGCGTCAGCGACGTTCGCGAGATCCAGATCCATTCTTTTCCAGCTGAGAATTCAGCTGGTCCATTCGTGCAACAAATGTCAGCCCATCTGGTCGGTGGCCTCAATCGAGAATGTTTTGCTTCGCAAATCCATTCCAGAGTTCTTAGTGTCCATCTGTCGTCTGTGCTTCTTATTATATGACCAGCCCATCGATGTTTTGCTTTAGAGACGTATTTCGCTGTATCTCGAAGACGAGATATTAACCTCAAATTTGAACTCTGAAGTCCGACGAGATGAAGACGACGACGAGAAGGCGACCCAAGCTGCTCTTCGCCTCCTGTTTAGTTCTTCTTTCAGATCTTTCTCCATCATCGAACATCCATACGTAGGAAGACGTCTTCGCGGCTGGAGAGCCTTCTAATTCCATTTCCTAATCCTCGCAAAAAGCGTTCTTCGTGAGCTGAGCCTTCTTCCGATTTATTCGCAATCCTATCCGCTTCCCTACTTCGTTTAGTTCTTTCAACATCGTCTCTGTTTCAGTGATATATCTCGAGAAGAGAGCAACGGCGCCCGCAAAACGAAGGTTCGAGAGGAATCTCCCATAAACTCGTATACCTCTCTCGTTCCTCCGCAAAACAAAGGTTCGAGAGGAATCTCCCATAAACTTATATACCCCTCTCGTTGAATTCAGTCATTGCATCACCACTGCAAGGCGGCGGTAAACAGCTTTGGCAACACGGTACCGTCTTGTCGAACCCCCTTCAAAATTGGTATGTTAAGGGGGCGGGGAAAAGCTATACAGTTGTAGCGCAATTCCTGTAGCAGTCGGCCAATGTCCTCACGTAAGATGGGCCCACCCCTTGATCGACGAGCGCTCAGTATGGCATTAGTCTCGGCGCTGTCAAATGTTTCTCAGAGTCGACGGAGGTTAGAATGAGAGGTAGGCGGTACTCTCGTCAAGAAACCGTCCGGATGCGATCCTCGCAACTGGATTGAGCTTGTAA